TTTTTTTTTTTTTTTTTTTCCCCCCCCCCCCCCCCCGCATTTTCGGGTATCCCCAGAGTCCCACAGTTCTCCCGGATCTCAAGACCATATCAGCTGATATACCAAAAATCAGGTCATGGAGTCCTTCGACATGTTCCTGAATGGTAACTTTGTAGCGCTTGGCGCTTTTAAAAGGGAGTATGGTATCGACGTCCCGGGACACGGTTGGACTATTCCAACCAAATGGCAGAGTTCCCTCTTCCAGGCTGGTCAATGTGGTGCTTTCGTCGGTGTATTCTTGGCCGGTCCCATCACCAACAAGTTTGGCTACCGCTGGACTACCATCTTCGCCCTGATACTTATGAACGCCACTATTTTTGTTTCCTTCTTTGTGAGTAAACCACCACCCATTGTTGAGCTTATTCCTAACTCCACTTAGGCCAACTCACTCGCACTCCTTGTGGTAGGCCAAGCCTTAGAAGGTGTCCCTTGGGGATTCTTCATTGCAAACTCCCCCGCCTATGCCAGTGAGATTGTTCCTCTTTCCCTGAGAGGTGCCTGCACAGCTACGCTGCAAATGAGTTGGTCCATCGGTTCAATCATTGTCGCCGGAGTAACTTACGGCTTCAATAAACGCGACGATGAGTGGGCTTGGCGAGTGCCTCTTGCCTTGCAGTGGATCTTCCCTGTGAGTCCTCTCCTTTTGAAATCTTGTATTTACAGGCGCTGACCCTTCTAGACTCCCCTCTTGATCCTCCTCTTCTTTGCCCCCGAATCGCCTTGGTGGCTGATTCGCCGCGGACGCAAAGCAGAGGCCCTTCGTTCCATCGAGCGTCTTGGTAGTGATTCCCACGAGGAAGCCCAGCAGTCACTTGCCATGATAGAGCGAACGGTTGAGATCGAAGCTCAAATGGGCGGGGCCCCAACTCTCCTCGACCTTCTCAAGGGAACTGATTTAAGACGAACAATCATCACCTGCTTGATCTATGCGTCGCAGAATTTCGCGGGTAACTTGATTGCTAATCAGGCAACTTACTTCTTCGAGCGTGAGTAGCTTCTTCCCCTCTCCGACTGCCTACATATAGCCACAATGGATGACTGACTCCTCACTTAGAGGCCGGAATGGGGCCCGATCGTTCATTCCAGCTCAATCTGATCAACTCGTGTCTTCAATTGTTTGCCAATATACTCTCTTTGCCTCTGGCCTCCTCATTTGGTCGCCGAACAATCTATCTCTGGGGCACAATCACCAACGTGGTTCTACTCATGCTCCTTGGCGTCTGCGCCTCTATCAGCCAGAACAGTGCGACCAACTACGCCCAGGCCGTGCTGGGAATCCTCATCTCCTTCGTCTTTGCCGGTAGTCTGGGACCCATCTCATACACCATCATTGCCGAGACCTCTTCCGTCCGTCTTCGCGCTTTGAGCACCGGTGTCGGTCGTGCCGCCTACTACGTTGCCGAGATCCCCATGATCTTCCTTGCCTCGCAGATGCTCAACCCTACTGGATGGAATCTCGCTGGAAAGTGTGGATACGTCTGGGGAGGTACCGCTTGTGTCTGCTTCGTGTCAGCCTACTTCTTCCTTCCTGAACTCAAGGGCCGCTCTTACCGTGAAAGTGATATCTTGTTCAATCGCCGGATTCCTGCTCGGAAGTTCAAGTCGACCATTATTGATGTTAGGGATAACGAGTAAGGAATGGCGATATGAAAGGACGAGATATACTTTTGTGAGATTCTGTAGCGTGATGACTCAGAAGCCATTTTGGAGACTATTATGTCCTCAAGCACACGTTGCAAGCTTTCCACTGAGTGTAACAGATACTTTTGCTTCACCCAAGCTATACATAGACCGTTATTACGGATACCAGCAAGTCTACCAGGAAGACTTCATCATAATCTACAAATGCAACTATATATACCGAATTTTCCCTGATTGGGGTTTTCCAATTCGAGCTGACCTAGTAAGCACCGAGTCATAATAGCGGATTGGAAGAACGTTGATCCAGTACAAGTACTTCAAAACACCGACCCCCTGTCACCAACCTGCACATATTTGGCTTTGCTCTTGGGCCCATGTAAATACGGTCATTTGCGAAAAAGTAAAGAGATAATTGACTGACAGGGGCCGAATTGTTAAGCGAGTTTCCTATCATCAAGAGATGTCTGTGGTTTTAAACATGCAAGTCTTGTCCCTGCTAATACTGTGACAGGCATTCTCGGCGTCGGAATGGAACGCTTGCTTCCTGTGAGCCTTGCCGTAAGGACAAAGTGCGGTGCGACCATTCCCAGCCTGTGTGTAAACGCTGCCAGAAGCGGGGTTTCACCAGTCGATGTTTCTACCACCCTGCTCCGTTGACCAGCACCAGAAGACGACCAGATAGGGATAGTCAAATTCACGTGTATGCCCGTATTAGTTTGCTCGCAGTGAAAAATTGACTGAGTGCAAGAATTTATAGACCACCTTCGCCTTCCTCGGGAATCCTAGGTAACCCCATGTCTGACTCTGAAACGCTGGACGTTGTGGCAGGATACCCGTCTGTTATTGACCCAGCACTTCGAACTGAACAGTTGCTGCCAGCGGGGTACTTGGGTCCGACGAGCTTCATCGCGGGGCTTGAGGAGAATGTCGATCTTTTTGTTCGCGGTGAACAGTTCAACCCAGATGGAAGCGAGAATTCTGCCATACCTCCATCTCCCGGGTTAGTCAAGAGGACGGCAGAGGTTCTTCGCTGCCTGCAAGACTTCTCAGCTATCAAGAACTTGGTCCAGAAATACTATAGCGTCTCCCAAACCGCCGTCATCCCATCATCATTGATCCTTAACGCACTGGATGAGCTTCAGGTCACTGTTAACGCAAGCTTGTTTGGATCAGCGTCCGATGACCAACTGGTTACATTCAGTACATTCGTAATACGCAATACTAGTAAGGCTTTGAAGATCCCACGGAACAGCGACGGGACTGTTTTTCACAAATCTTTCACTGGGCCTTTCCTTCGCTTGGAGATCATTGGAGTTGTATGCGCTCTAGCAGGCCGGGCCAGCTACTTCGGGCTAGCCGACAGTATGGTTTGCAATACCGAGTCACGAACCCAATTCTCTCACAAAATGTTGGTTGCATGTGATCTCACTATCCAGATATGCAAGAGCATAACGGGCTTGAATGACCTTTCTCTCTGGCTTGTCCACGAAGACCTCCTCTTGTTAAAGCTGCTTCGGGGTGATTCCAGTCAGTCATCATTATTACCTTACGCGAATCCTGCCGCTCACAAGATGTTTTACAGGTTCGGTGACATGGAACCGCCTAGGTGAACTTGCCACCGATATATTTGAATTTGGTGCCCACAGGGACACCCCTAGCTTATTACCGCTTTTCATTGTCGAATCCCGGCGGAGGCTTTTCGCAGCTTCCTATCAGCTCGATAAAAGCATTGCTACTTTCCTTGGACGACCACCTCGCATTTCATGGAGGCATTCTGATTGCCGTCTTCCTCTCGATATTAGTGATGAGACTTTAGCTGGGCACCCAAACAAACTAGACGCTGCCCGACTCTCTTTAGATGCTAATGGATGGAACACAAGAGAGGTCTACCAGCGATCATCTTGGATACGGCTACGATTTATTATCAGTACATTCCGAGAAGAGATATTGGAGCTGTCCCTTCAAAAGCCAAGTCCGAATAGAACGGAACAACTGCGGTAGGTTGAACAAGACCCCTTCCGCCCTCCACGGAGCCACTTTTGTCTACTTGGTGTTAATCGGTACTAGGGAAGTCTCCAGTCGCTGTCACCAGGCTTGGAGTTTGTTGCCCAAACATCTTCAATATACGTCTAGTTGCTGGGAGTCCGACCTTCCCATAGGAGTGAAGTTGATATCGATCATTTCATATCTCGCCTATCTTTACAATGAGTTCTCGGTCCAGAGCCTATTATACCAGGATTCTAAAAACACAAATGCTGCGCTACTGGATGTCAGCTCTGAAATTCTCTCGACTGTGTTGACCCTAGGGCGACAGTGGGAGCGATCTGTTGATATCAAGAGCGACTTTACTTGGATCGTGAGTAGTCAGTTTAGCTATCTAGTAGATTCCCACTGATCTTCTTTTTAGGTCCTTGTCTATGGGTTTTCATGCGCCGGCGTTTTGATCCGAGCAATGCAGGAGCAAGCTCGAACGGGCCAGCCATTGTTGTCTTCTGGGTCTCGATCCTCCCTCATTCGCAACTTAAGCGTCTTTATCTCTCACCTGGAGTCCATGGCCGGTCCGGAACAGGCGACATCTCCACTATTCGTCCGTGCCACGTCGGTTTTCTCTAGTATTATCGATGAAATATTGGAGCCGAGACCAGAAGTTCCCTTCAACGGTACTAATCTCGATACGATATTGGATTCTGATAATGACCCCTTCTTTTTCGATCTCCAGGGGATGGACTTGTTTGAAAATCAGGATTTTCATGTTGCCTTTCATGATATGCTTTACTAAAGAAGACAGCGAGCTTCTGACAACCCATTTAGAGACTTCTACAATTTCCTGCAAACAGCTACTTTGCTCTCCATCCATTACACTTTCTTCGCAGAGACTCTGACGGGATACGCAAGTACATGTAGTAAGCGAAGTCTTCCTAGGGCCCGTGCCTATAGCTTGGAGGGTAATATTGGGTCAATTAGAATAGGTTCCATTGCGTATCTCTTGTGTAGCTATAAATAGCAAATTTATTAGAATGAACGGTCACATCGACGTACATTTGGGGAACAATCTACTGGGGTACAACGCAGGGGTATACGTGGATGGAGCTAGCGTGCCGTGCTATATTGAGGTAGCTGCCCAGATGCTTAGCTCTACTCGAACAAAATACAAGGTTTGGCCACCACAGTTGAAAGGAAAGTCGAAGAACTGGCAGTGGTTATCAGTAGGTAGAACTATTAGAAATAAAAAATAGTACAAGCAAAAATGAGCCACCCTCGGAGTTCAAACACCGGCGCTGTCAAATCACATTATAGGGGACAAAAAAACATAGATCATGGATCCATAACACAATTGCACGAAATCTCCACCCGCCGATAGGGAATATACCGTTTCTTGATCTTCCACCATTGCATAGATTGCATCACTATGCGAGCAAGCAGAAGACCCGGTCATATTAAGGTAATACAGTCTGATCATGCCGAACTCTTCGTCTCAGAATTGGCAACACCGTTTGGAGTCTCTTCAGATTTAGCGGAAGTTGAGGTTGAGCTCTCCGTAGAGGGTTCGCCCGACAGCTTGGCCTCGGCAGCAGCCAACTTGGCAGTGGTTGTGTCCAAGCTCCTCTTCAGGGCCTTGATGTAATCAATGGCCATCTCCACGGCGGTGGCCTTGCTGATGGCCTGGTTGGCCTTTTCTTTCTCTTTTTCCTTCTCGTTGGCCTTTCCGCCCGATTCTGCAGCTTCCTTGGCGTTGCGGGCATCGATGAAGTCCTGCGGAATGAGAAGCTCAATCTCCTTGAGCGCATTGTTGATTCGATTCCGGCGTCCCTGCTCTGCGAGCTTGTGATTCGTCCGCTTGGAGCTCAGATTCTCTGCCAGGGCCTCTGGATAGCTCACACCCGACGGCAGAGTGCCATCGAGAATGTGTTGATAGTTGGATTTCGATGCAAGGTAAAGCGCATCTTGTGACATGCCTAGAATATAGTTAGTATAACAGCCACGAGGTTCGGATCCGAGACTCACCCTCGCTGCCTTTCATAAGGGGCTGGATACTGGGACTAATCTTGGGCCGCAACTGTGGGCTGGCCTGAGTGGAACTCATGCTGGGTCGTTTCCGATTAGACGCAGTTCTGGAATCTGATTTTCGAGGAACTGGCCCACTGGGAGACGGCATTGCAGTTGTACGGGGACTAGGAGCCACAGAGGCACTAGGAGGTTTATCGTACGTCGCAGGCGAAGGATCCAAGAAAGGTGTCCCATTCGTAGAGACCGAGGGATTCCGCATAGTGGTATCAATGCGGCTGGGTTTCGGACGCAGCTGCGAAGGAGCGGCCGCCTCTGGAAGTGATATATCCTCCATAATGTCATCTGGGAACTCAGGCTCTGCGAGCTGGGCTTGACCGCGGAACTGGCCTGCAGGGTCTTGCGAATGTTGATTCCGCTGGATGCGCATCAGAAGCGCAGGGGTGGCAGCAGTGCCGGGCGAAGCTTTAGCGTGGGGCGCAATTGCAGGAGACATCCGAGGAGGAGGAAGAGCAGGAGGGGGCATCATCGGTTCTGATAATGGCTCAGGCGATACCGAGTCCTGGCCAGAACCCTCATTGCTGCTGATCTGGAGGGAGCGGATGTCCTGATTCCGCGGCTTTGTGGAATTGATCTCCTGGGTAAGGCTATTGTAGAATTCCTCCGAATTGGTAGCCAAAGTGCTGCGTTTGCGCTGCGCCCGAATAATGGGTGATTGCTTGACCTTCCGTGTGTTATTGAGCCGGGTAGCGGTCGTTGTTGGTCGCTGACGACTATTGGGTTTCCGAATGATGCTAGGTGAAGATGGAGCCGAGGTTCCGGCGATGGGGTTCACCTCCGCAGTAGTGGGAACGAAGCCCATATCCGATACCTGTCTTGCACGGTACTGGTAACTGCTGGATTCGGCATTTTGTGCCTCTAGGGCTGGAGAAGTGAGAGGTGTGAAGTATTCGCCTGGAATTGTATATTCGGGGAGTCGGAATTGGTTCTCCAAGGGCGTCATAGCCGGTGAGATAAGAGGAGTGTAGAGGGCCTTAATCGTTAGTCAATGAATTCATATGGGATTTGTGCCTGAGCTAACCTGTTCCTCGTTGATGCGTGAATATCCATCGTACATATCCGGGTTCTCGTCCACGCGCTGGGGGTATTGAGCGGTATTGCCATGCATCTCGATACTGTTCGGGGTGGGAGGGATCATGTTGTGGCCTTGCATGTACTGTTGGTGGGTAGGCGGTTGGGACATGGGCGATGGTTGCTGCGCGCAAAAGCCTGGGGTCATATGGGGAGTCGAGTAAGGCATTGGGTGACCCTGATTGGTGTGCGACTGTGTGTTATCATTGAAATCCATGAGGCCCTCCATCTGACCCGAGTATTGCACGGCATGCGATCGTAGGTGAGCCATATCCGAGTCCGGGCCGGTAGTGGTCGGGAGAGAATGGGAATGTTGCATATTCCCTGGTCCGTGCTCGATTTCGGAAAACGGTATGTTGAACTCGAACAAATTGGAGAATTCTTCTTCACCAGGCGCAGTGATGAGATTATTCTCATGGAGCTGCTCCGGCCACGACATGGCTGGTTGTTCCATTTTTGAAATAAGAGATAAAGAGATATTTAGGTCAATGAAGCCTTAGATGAGATTTATTGGCCAATCAGGCCAAGAGAGAACTATGTTGAAGTCGAAACGTTCAAAGAAGAACATCGGAGAAAAGGAGAATCCGGGCATTCGAGGAGAAATCAGAAGAAGAGATGAAGTGGAGAATTCACCTTTGGAACCTTCGGGGGGCGGAGAGGGTCCTCCGTGGTCGGGCAATGGGACCTTCGGTTGCCACTGTGGGATGTTTAAGACGGTGGTCAGCCTTTTCTGCGCCTTTTTTAGTCTTATTCTGCGCTAGATGCGCGTGTGCTTTTATATGCAGAAAGTGAAAAAGTACTAACTTAGTACGGAGTACTCCGTGTACTCCAATTTTCTCTTTTTCCCGTTCAACCCAGAGTGGAAATATACGGAGAAGAGACCACCTTCCGGAGATATCTATTGATATTATACTCGGTAGTTTATATATCGAAGTAATAACTAATAAGTAATTCAATTAACTAGATAGTCAAGCAACTCCAAGGTTTCCAAGGTTCCTAGGCGGAACATAAATCCCATGCATGGATACCTCAGGCATAAATCAAGAGGGGTTTATCACCTCGTGATGTTGGCTTACCTGAGCAAGGAACATGACATGATCACTTTAGACTTCCATGCAGAGATGCAGAGAGCTTCGTGACTCTGTTAACTTCCAAGCTTGTTCAAGATCTCTTCCTCCTATGAAATGCCTTCATAATGAGACCTATTCCAGACCTCCCGTTCTCTCGCAAACCCTCCGACCATCCCCCATCTCCATCCCTCGATCCCCGCACTGCCACCCCTGCGACTTTCTTCTTATCGCGCAGTCCACATGCCGCGGATCAGGATTCCAGTACATCGTTAGATAGCCCCGAGGATGGCAAAGAGAATATGTATGGAGTACAAAGCCTAGATGCCTCCCTGTCCCAATCAGAATTCACATCCTTGCCCCGCGATTACTCTGCAGAGGGCAGCCTGAAGCAGGCAACAGACGATTTAGAATCACACCTCGCACAAAACCGGTCAACATTGAAGCCACCAAACTCAGGCACCGGGGAATCCTCTGAATACGCATCTCCCATCCATGCAGTGTCTCGGCCCTTAACTCCGCTTACGTTGGGCATCCCCGATGACCCATCCTCCTTGCCCAGCAGTCCTAAATCTACATCTAACCAGTCCTTGCGGCCACTTGATGATATTTCTATCACGGATGAAACCAATAGTCAGGCTGTCGGATCTGGAGATGAGGACGAAATGCCCCATGGGTCTCCATTTTTGGCCCCAGGTGGGGCCTCCCAACTTATCATGCCAAGTATCAAAATGCCAAGTCGTCGACCGTTCACTGAGCGAGGAAAAGCCATGGGTCGATTCAAGGTTCTTCTCGCTGGTGCTCCTGGTAGGTCTCAATTGTTTCGGATGAAATTACACAAGCTGATCGTCTCATAAATTAGGTTCCGGTAAGACCTCGTTGATCAAGTCTATTGTTCAGACCTGCGACGATATCGTACATGTCGACACCATCCCGCAGCCAATCTCTTTGGGACGCCGCAGACCTTCCCGCCCCCAATCTCGGGCATTGATTGCCACAACAGAAATTTATGCTAGCACCAAACCTTATCCTTCATGGTGGTCGGATTTGGAAGATTCGCGCGTGCTCCAGCGACGGAGAAGCATTGGAGAAATTGTGTTAGAGAGGAACCTGTGTTTCGTGGACACACCCGCAACAAATTTAAGCCGGGCAAGTCAAAGCGACGCTATCACGCAATATATGAGACAACAATTTTTCCGTGCCACCAATGCGCTTAGTGGGTCCAGTGTTGATCTCCAAAACCTCCTAGCCGGGAATGGTGGATCCCAGGTGGATGCAATCTTGTATTTGATTTCCAATGGTAGGCTCTATTCTGTCTCGGAGGGAATCTTCCAAACTTAACCCCCGATCGCTGACCTTCTATAGACACCCTCTCAACAGATGTGGAATGTATCCGCAAACTCTGCGAGCTCAGCAATGTGATACCAGTAGTATCCAAAGCAGACACTCTCACCCCAACTCAAATCTCTCACTTGAAACTTCGCTTCCACGAAAAGGCCCGCGAGGCCGGAATCAAACCATTCCTATTCGGTGATCCGCCGAACGGGCTAGACGGGTTGGAATCCCAACCCCCATATGCGGTCTCTTCCGAAAAGACAATTGACACCGAAACAATGGATGCAAGCACCCTAATGAGTCCAGACTACGTTCAACCACTCGTGCCCTCCGAATTAGACGCCCTAGTCAACAAAATGTTCGATCGCGACAACCTAGCCTGGATGCGCCATTCCGCCGCAAAGAAACTTCTCCAGCAACGCACGGACTTGTATTCGCTCCCGCCCTCAATCCCGTTATCCAGTGCGCAGCCGGCTCTTACCGCAGGTGGGTCCGAATCTGCATGTAGCAGCTGGCGTTCCGTATCGGGAACGTGCATTTCATCCGGCTGCCCACCCGGCTATGCCATGGCCCGCATCGCGGACTACACCCGGCATGAGGAGCGCATGGCGCAGGTCCGGCTCGCTCAGTGGGCGACAGACCTGCAGCGCAGCTTGCAGAACGAGCGCGATCGATACACCTCACTGGCTCGCGGCGAACGCGCTGTGTGGCTTACCGAGCGGCTTGGCGAGTGTGTTGTCGATGGGTCGTTGGTGCCTCTTTCGCAGACGCCTGGCTTTTGCGGGCTGCATGGCACCATCGGGGAGAAGAGCGCCGGTAGCTTCCAGGTCATGCGCTCACATTCCTCTTCCAGGGCAGCACATCGCTTCGTAGCTTTCAGTCCGCATGACCCGCTCGGCGTGGTTGGCTGGATTGACGACCTCGGGCACCGGAGCTGGATGCTAGTTCAGATTGTTGGGAGTGTAGGGGTTGTTGGTGGGTTGGCGCTCTGGCTTGCGCGCACTTGGGGTCTGCCGACCCGTAATCTTTCGGATTTGCGTCTTGATTACTGGTGCGGTACTATGGAGCGGTAGGTCAATGAGCTGACTTTGGTATGATAATGAGGATATGAATATGTGATGGCTTTCTAGTTTGTTGTCTGGAGCGTTCCTATTGGATGGTTTTGTCTTTCCACTGTTGTGTTCATGATCATCGGAAGATCATTGCTCTCATCTTCGGCGTCTTATGGCCGGTGTCTTACGACGCTGGGACTATTCCCTTAGCGGTTCTGGGCCACGTAGCATAGTCGGATAGGGATATCTTTGCATGAAAATGGATAAATCTGACGTTTATTATAAGTGATTTTTACCTTGCCTTTCTCTCTAATCATTCTATCCTCTAACTCAATATAAACATTATTTCTCTTCCAGCCATTCCCTGATACTATAGCAGCTAACCAGTGATGTAGTCTAACATTGAAATTGGATAGATACACTGCATATAGGAGTATTGAACTTCAATGTTTGTCTTAGGGGGGAAAAAAAAAAATAAGAGAACAAGCTCTGACAAAAACTTTATGTCGAACTAGTATTCTTCAACGGCTAACTCCAGGGCGATATGTGGACATTATGTTGCAGTTATACATCGACTGTCCTCACGAGCGTTTTCATGGATTCAAAAGCGCTCCAATCTTCCTATCCAATTGGTAAGATGGCCGAGTTGGTCTAAGGCGCACGGTTCAGGTCCACCTGATCCCGATGGTATACAAACTGTCTCCGTGTCTCGAAAGGGGCGTGGGTTCAAATCCCACTCTTATCAATATTTGTTTTTGTTTAGCCAATGGCCCTATAGTAATAGGGTCAGAAGAGGTCGGAGGAGTGGGTATTACTTTCTATTGGTATAGATCGATGCAAGTGAAGTATGTCGTCAAAGTAAAGCCCCAAACCCTCCATCTATATCAATCAAAAACAATTGCTCTACTGAGTTGCGAGAGGTTCTTTTTGTAGACAACGCTAGGAATGATCCATGTATATGTGAATAATAATACATGGAGCATGCAAGTAATTCCTTGCCATGAGATTATACCTCCCCCAGGACCATGACCATCACAAGCCAAGGAAACCCGTAGGTCTGCCGAAGAGGATAGAAACAAAGGATAAGGTACAATTGTATTACAGTCAACTACACCTTTAAAAGAACAAAGGAGATATCGGCAATGAATCTAGGCACAAGTGGTCACATCAAATCCAAAACGAAGGGAACAGGCTTCTCCCTCTCTACGGTGTAATGTATACAGGGATTTTAAACGGTCAGACCGAGGTCCTCGGCGAAGGGGAGCTGGTGGACATCACCCACGCTGACGAGGGTGGCCTTGCCAGTCAGGAAGGTGTTGGCGACCTACGTGTAACTGTTAGCACCATGACATTGACAATATGAATAGAAAAATAACGTACCTCCTTGACCTGCTGCTCGGAGACCTTCTCGAGAGCCTGAGCAATCTCGTTGATCTGGTAGGGCTTGTTGCCGTGAACAAGGCCGGAGCCAGTAGCCTCAAGACCGGTCTCGAGGGTCTGGACGGATTCCAGAGCGCGGAACTTGGCAAGGGCAATAGCCTTCTTGATGTCCTCGGAGGCGACCTCACCGGCGGCGGCCTTCTTGAGGGCGTCGACGACGTTCTTGCTGGCGGCACCGACCTGGTCGGCCTGGCCGGACAGGGTGACAGTGAAAAGACCGGCATCGGAGTAGGCGTTGTTCTGAGTGGAAACGCGGAGCTGGTTGAAGCCCTTAGTGGCCTGGGAGAGAAGGGAGAAGCCGGGGGTCCACTTGATAGTGGACTCGCCGCCCAGAAGAGCAGCGAGAACGGAAGCCTCGGCCTTGTAGCCTGCGGTGCCGAAAGCGCTGGAACCGGGGAAGGCGATCACAACAGCGTTGCCGATCTTGGAGGGAATGCGCTGCTCACCACCGTAGTACTTGGAGGCGACGGAGGGCAGAACGTTGTATTTGCTGGAGGCGTTGCCGGTAGGGGTGTCCTTGAAGAACTGGCCAACCCACTTGGAGAGCTCAGCGGAGTTGGGGCCGCTGGCGACAAGAGCAATGTTGGACTTGGAGTAGGCGCTCTGGGCGAACTCGGCGAGGGCATCGCCGGAGACGTACTTCTCGTAGGGAGAAGTCTGGGAGGGGGTGATGGAGGCGCCCAGACCGCGGTGGAAAGCAACACCGTGGGCGGCATCGACAGCAACGGTCTCCGGGTTGGAGTGGACGGCCTGCTGCTTGTACTTGAGGAGCTTGCTGACAACCTCGTTCAATTCGTGGTCTGATATCACGGAGGGGGCTCGAGTCAGCAAAGAATGCTCATATAATTGCGCTGCACCAACCACCATTCATCAAAAGCGACCGACTCACCTGCGAACTTGGTCTGGGAAGCAACCTCGGCCAGCAACTCTGTGAAGTAGGGGAGGTCCTTGGAGAGGAACTTGGTCCGGAGGACAATGTTTTCGCGCGAGTGTGTCGACGAGATTTCACCGCCCAGCAGCTCAGTCTCCCGGGTGATCCGCAGTGCAGACCGCTTGAGGGTAGTCTGATGAGGAATTGAATGATTAGTATCGCCAAATATACCTAACATAGATCAATTGATGCCATGTGACCAACCTTGAAAGCGAATCGGTCGAGAGCATCGGAGAAACCAGGGAAGGGCTGGTAACGGGAGCCAGCCTTCGCAACCAGGGCCAGGGTGCCAGTAGGACCCTCAGCTTCACGGTTGGCGACCTTCACGCCGGAAGCTTCGGAGACATCGTACTGGAAGGCCGGGTTAGCAGCGGAGGCCATGGACCGACGGCCGGCGGCGAACGCACGCGGCGCATTTCGGCTGAGGGAAGACCGCGACAGCATCGTCGCCTGTGCCGAAAAGATGTGAGAAAAGAAGAAGAGATATAAACCCGAATTGGGTTCGTAAAGAGGCGCAAATGAGGCGGGGAAGGAGGTGGGATGCGGAGAGAGCAAGAGGGAAGAGGCAGTTTGGGAGGTCACGAAAAGCTTCAAGATCCCGACTCGTCACTCCAGCCAATCAGCGGTCAAGTAATCAAAAGCGCGGACGGAACCGGAGTTACTTTTGTTGCGAGTATATAGAAGGAGGTTTCTATTGTCTTTATCTTAATTGTTATTATAGTCTAATTGAGTATTTTTAAATAATCAATATCCCTCAAATTGTCTTGAATATCTCTATTGGTCCCCTAATTGTGTCTCCCTGAACACGTTTTCAAGTGAGGCATTTGGATCACCTGATTGGTCCTGTCACGTGAATATACCGATAAGCAAAAAAAGAACAAAAGAACGTCGGAGACCTGCATCTCATCGCGCATTGGATTTTTGGACTTGCAGATCTCTGCTAGCTTGGAGATATTCATGAACATTCGGTGACATCCAAACGCCCCCTCTCGAGGTCTGGTGGTGAATCTTCTTTTATCTTTAGCCCACCATGATGTCCCAGGTATGTCACTGTTCCACTAACTTCAAGAGAGCTACTTACCGACATGAATTTAGTGCTCTGCCGAGCTCTGTATGCTATTGATCGAAGACAATTTTGGAGAGCTCTTTGCCGTGAGTCATCTTGTGCAAACCTCGGGACTCTCGGACTGTCGTGATTCCTTGCGACAGCGGGGAAGGAACCGGACTAACTAGTAACTTTTCGCAGCGCATCTTTACCGTCCTTCAACGTTACGAAAGACTTACCCTCCCTCGGTTAAAATTCTATGCTCGCCTGACAGATCGCCAATTGCGCCATGGCCTCTCCGCCATGATCCAGCACCACTTGATCTATCACTTCACCTCCCTCGATGACGGCAATACCTACTACGAAGCTAATCCACAAGCCGCATACTCCCTCGTGCGATCTGGAAAGATTCTCCAGCTCGTTGAAAATCGACTAGGAGAATACGCGGCCCAGGTGTTGGAAGCAATCATGACGCTCGGTCACTCCTCGATCGCCCACCTCGAGACGCTTCCCGAACTTAAATCCAAGAGGCAGCGCATTCCGAATGGGGTCCACCATGATGAACACAAGATCGATGGAGAGGGAGAAATTGAAGAGGATTCCGCTGCTCCTAACGGCGATCATGCTGTGAGCGAGAAACCGGCATATCTTCACCCCACCTTGAAGAGTCTTGCGTCCCACGGATACATCCATCGCCTTCGAGAGGCACACTTCCAAAGCCCAAATGACAACTGGCTAGATGCTTCCCGAATCATCGCATCAAGGCCAGATGTCAAACAAATGAAGGGCAAACAGCAAGCGGCAGAGATTGAGGAGAAGGCGAAGGACATGGTCAAGGAAAGAACAGAAGGAGATCTGAGCCGGGGCCTCATATACAACGGCGTCCCTCAGGGCGCCAAAATAAGACGCAATCACGGCGACTCGGAGTCCAATAAGCAGGTGTCGAATGGCACCAACGGTATCAACGGGGACCATGTAGAAGACGAGGGGGAAGAGGGGAATGATTGGTCCGAAGATGAAGATGGTATTGATTCAATCCCAATGGATGTAAGCTCGTTTTGTTTTTCCCTTACCGCGGCTTCGGATCAACCACTAACATTTGCCTCAGTCTAACCTTATCATTCGGGTGAACTACGAGAAGCTCGACGTGGCGCTTCGAAACACGCGGTTCCTTGAGCTTGCGGAGCAAGACGCACATTCCACCTCAGTCGAGATTTACGACTGTCTGCTTCGGCGCATTGAATACCAAACAGCCCGCTGCCGAGACTCATTTGAGATCCCTCGCGAAGGAGAAGAAGGCGAACAATACTCTGTCCCAATCCAACTGAGCTCAATCGTCGAAGACGTTGACCCGAATCTGGATCTTGCAGGATGTATTGGCCCGATGGAGCCCTCGACGGTGTTAAACCGACGCGGCAAGCGACCATTGGATGATGACACGAATGGCGTAAATGGTGACAAGCATGAAGATGAACCGAGCGGGAAGAACCGCGCCTACGAGATCGACCAGCACCTTAGTATACTCTCACAACCTCCCTTGAACCTTACCACAAAACACGTCATCTCCGGCCTCCCTACCTGGCGAGTTGCATTCCGAGGCCTGGCCCGGAAACTTCGCCATTTAGAACTGGAGCGCATGATTGAATCGCGGTACGGAGATGTGGCACTGCGGGTGGTCCGCGTCCTGCATGCCAAGGGCAAGCTTGACGAGAAACGGCTCCAGGAAATCAGTCTCTTGCCATTCAAGGACCTGCGCCAGACACTTGCTAGCATGCAGACTGGAGGGTTTGTAGATCTGCAGGAAGTGCCACGTGATGCGCAGCGTCAGCCTTCCAAGACGATCTACTTGTGGTACTACGATCCGGACCGCGTGTGCAGCAGTATTCTGGAGGATACATACAAAGCCATGTCACGGTGCCTGCAGCGCATCAAATTCGAACGTAGCCGCGAGAGAGATTTCCTTGAAAAGACGGAACGAACTGACGTCAAGGGTCACGAGGAAGAATTCCTCTCGGAGGCTGAATTAGAACACCTTCGCAACTGGAAGGCTAAAGAAGCCTTGCTGCTGGCGGAGGTATCTAGATTAGATGATATGGTTGCTGTTTTCCGAGATTATTGATCTGCTGTGTTCATATCATGGAGGCTGGGAAGTAATTGGGGTTGCATAAATCGGCATAGGCGCATGAGCGACGAATTGATACAAATGACAGCTATATGCTCGTTTAGCGAGTTTATTCCTTAGACATATCTTGGACATGATATGTAGCTATGCTTTCTCCCTTTAGGATCGTATGCTCCTTTGTCATCCCGTGGTCTCTATGCCTCGCCCACAGAGTCTGGATCCAGCAGATAAGGTCAGTCTTTACGCTTACAGCACGATAGGAATGAATACATGTCCCAGATGCGAGACCCAGAGTGTCTTCGTATTTGTCTCTATATGACGATTAAGTACTGGATCAAGCATCCAGCGTTTGTCCAATTTTACGCCTACAAGAAACTATGATGACCTTTCAAATGGCCCATCTCTGGTATCTTTTGTAAGGCCTTTTTTTTGTTCTTCGTTTCTATCTTTTCGTCAGAGACAAATCAACAAAGCTGCTGTATAACTTCAGAGTTGCACAGTGATCGGCAGCCTGGCGTCATATGGCTTTCACGTGGATCATTTAGCCAAGAATATGCGAGACTAGCGTTGAGTACTTTACATATGTACTATATAGGCAGCAAGGAAAGGGAAAAGCAAGTAGAAAGTATTAATAGAGACAAGATGATGCAGTGTCTAGGCAGTAATTTAAGGACATCAAAGAAGTGTGTTAGAGTGTGTTAATTCAAAACAAACCAGCAATAGCCAGTCAAAGAAAACAAGAGAAGCCGAAGTGTCTATTCAAAGTAGAAGAAGTAAGCTACGTCAGCCCTATTGCTGTTAACTAAGACAAGTCTGCAAATATTAATGACGCTGGCGCGACGCCGGTGGCTGACCCATTCCCTGCACCTTTTATACCTTGCCATACCTTGGGTTCCTACACAATGTCTTTTCTGACGCAACTCTGCAGATAAATTTACTTATTTTGCATTAACGTCCCGTCCACACATTCACATCCATATTCTATCTAAATCATCATCAACATCAACATCCCATCGAAGATGACCTTCCCGTGGATATATCCCATCAGAGTGGTACAAGCACTCTTTGGCGTGGTCGTGATCGGCTTGACAGGATATGGTCCGTCGCTTCAGAACATATTCTCCAAGTCTACGGAAAACTGACAAGTCTCTAGTGGTTTCAACATTCTACTATGGATGGTCATACTCGGATACCGTCAACTTCCTCCTCTTCCTTGGTTGCTGGACTGCCTTTGTAGCAGTGCCCTACCTCGCCATTACACCAATATGGTTTCCTCGTCTTGCACACCATTATGTGATTCCTGCTGTTGAAGTCATTACCATGATCTTCTGGTTTGCCGGGTTTATCGCCATGGGGGCGATGTTGCCTCCACCGAGGTGGTGTCATGGGAGTGCATGCAGCTCGCTCCAGGCAGCAACGGTATTTGGGGCTTTTGAATGGTGTGATTCTTTGTCTTTGGTTTTTCTTGGTTTTGCGACAGTATATATGGTCAGAGAGCTAACTGTGATTGCTACCGCTTATAGGGTGCTTTTCGTAGTGACCAGCTATTTCGGTATTGTCGGTCTTATGCACCACCGCCGTGGTGGAGAAGCGAAAACACATACGAATGTGCAGATGGGAGTCTGAAGTATTTGTTTCCATGATCATCCTCAAAGCGTCCGAGACTATCGGATTGAATATTTGTTGATATTTGGGGTGTTTTGAGTGTTTCCAAGGTTTGGATGTTATAGTTCGTGGTGTTTGGATGCGATACCCTTTCATAGCGACCTTATGGAATTCTTCTTGTTTTAGTAACCTATTTCTTCTCCCGGGGTCCAAATCGAATTTATTTAAGGAACTTACCGATCAAAGGTCTTCCTAGGTACTAATATCATTCTTATGACTCGCAGGATATCGGTCATCTCCGCAAACGGCATTTCGATTCGGCCAAGCCCGCTGCCAAGTATGTGGCTACAACATAATTAATTACTAGATTCTTATTTCAGCTATATATATGAAAGTCTTCAAAGACAGAGACAGACTGGAGAAGGATTAGATATATATGGAATAGATGTGCCACATACATATAGTCTATATATAATATGCCCGTGGACATTTGTCCTATTGATGTGCTGCAGCAATGTATGATAATCATTATTATAGGATAAACGATACAATAAAGCCTAACTAGGTAGACTGAGAACAGAATACTAAATAAGATGTACAAAATATACAAAATATATCCAGTACAAAATCTGCTATACCAAGGGGGGCAAAGAGAGTCGCCACCAAAGAAAACTCTTCCCGGCAAAATGGCCCACCCCAGGTGGTATTGGCGGAAAAAGAGAAAAGTTGAGAGAAAATCCGATTAAGAATAATGGAATAGAGTAATATTAGACTGTTAGACTAACTATTAGACTATTACAAGACTAATAGATAAATACAACCAACCCCATTTTCCCCTCAAATTCTCCTTTTCTTTTACATAACATATATCTCCCCCCAGGCTCAAGAGGAGTTGATAGTCTGCTCCACCGAGGGAAAAAGCCTGTCTTCGGAGTTGGAGTGGATACTTGCAGTCTCCCTCAGATCCTTTCTTTCTCCTCTTTCTCCCCCATCTCGAAGCTGTCCCCTTTACACAGCAGACATGGCGGACAAGTCGAAGGGAAAGTTGAGCGCTGAAATGCCTGTGCAAATCCAAGCACAGAGCCCGGCCTATGATATCGACTATGAGAAGCATGGCGCCCAGCGCGAGGCAAACCCGTTGCCGGATCTCAAGCGGAAGCTGAAGAGCAGGCATCTACAGATGATTGCAATCGGTGCGTTGGATGATATTGTCAACCAGGAAGATATTCGGACTAATAGTCTTGAAAGGCGGCACAATAGGTACCGGTTTATTCATTGGTAGCGGCACCGCCATTGCTCACGCAGGCCCCGTGGGCGCTCTCATCGCTTATATCTTCGTCGGAACGATTGTGTACTCGGTCATGACCGCCCTCGGAGAGATCGCAACATATATCCCGATTCCCGGTGCCTTTACCTCATACGCTGCTCGCCTGATTGACCCGAGTCTGGGCTTTGCTATGGGCTGGATCTATTGGTTCTCATGGGCATCAACTTTTGCGTTAGAGTTGACCGCAACCGGTTTGATCATCCAGTTCTGGGATAGTACTATTCCGATCTCTATCTTCATCGCCGTCTTCTGGGTCGTGATTATCATTTTCAACTTGATGCCCGTGGCCTTCTACGGTGAAATTGAGTTTTGGTTCGCGAGTATCAAGGTTATTACCGTGATTGGCTTCATGATCTTCTCGATCTGTATGAATGCCGGCGCCGGTAAGGAAGGTTATATCGGTTTCCGGTACTGGGTCCACCCTGGCCCGTTCGTCCCTTACTTAATTGAAGGGAACGATTCGTTGGCCAAATTTGTCGGATTCTGGTCGACGCTTATTCAGGCCGGATTCTCCTACCAGGGAACCGAACTGGTTGGTATTGCGGCCGGTGAGACCGAGAACCCTCGCAAGACCGTCCCGTCTGCAATCCGCAAAACCTTTTTCCGTATCGTATTCTTCTTCATCCTGACAATATTCTTCCTCGGAATTGTCGTGCCCTCCAGCGACCCCGGTCTATTGGCTAGTGAGGGAGATGGTGCTGCTGCTCAGAACGCCAATGCTTCGCCGTTCGTCATTGCTGCCAACCGTGCCGGCGTCATGGCTCTCCCCGGTATCATCAACGCCGTTCTTCTGACCGTGGTGCTTTCGGCAGCCAACTCCAATGTCTACAGCGGAAGCCGTATCCTGGTCGGCCTGGCCCAGGAAGGTTTCGCCCCTCATTGGTTCAAGGTTACCAGCAAGCGTGGTGTCCCTTACTACAGTGTGCTCTTCACGGCGGCCTTTGGTCTACTTGGATTCTTGAACGTCTCTGATGCAGGCAGCACGGTGTTCACTTGGTTGCTCCAAATCTCCGGGGTGGCTGGTTTCATCACCTGGTCTTCGCTGAACGCCTGCCACCTTGCCTTCCAGCGGGCGCTGAAGGCTCGCAACATCTCTCGGGATATCCTGCCCTACAAGGCCCTCTGGCAGCCCTGGTTCTCGTGGTATGGTCTATTTTTCAACTGTCTGATCATCCTCACTCAGGGATTCACCTCCTTCATCCCACACTTCCAAGTCAAGGAGTTCTTCATCAGCTACCTGAGCTTGATTTTGTTCGTGGTGCTATATGCGGGGCACAAGATCGTCTACCGCCCCGCCTTTATCAAACCCATTGAGGCTGACCTGGATACCGGCCGTACCACTGCTGATAACGAGACATGGGAGACTATTGAGCCAACTACATGGTATGGCAAGGCATGGAAGTGGATTTGCGGGTAATTATAGACTGTTGATCTCTCACTGTATATATTCTATTTTCTTTGCATATACGCTTATATTTACGCATTTATACTCCACAATATACTTTATTATATCTTAATACATTTCAAATATTCTAAGTATCTCGGTTCATGTGAAAATTAGTGCATGTGAGTTGGGCTCAACAAACCTTGGAATGACGTGGGATATGTAAGCAAGCTCCACTATTTCAGGTACCTGAGATACTATGTGAGGTATCACTTTGTGGCAAGTACCCCCAAAACAGCCGAGGTCCCCTGATCGGCTCATGTCTTTTTATGTCCGAAAAGAGTTGGTCGCTCCGGCTTTCATGCACCACTCCAGTTTTCTCCCCCACACTCTTTGCCCCCTTTAATATCCGGATCACTCGGACCTTTCTTTTTTTCTCTCTTTTTTTATTCACATAGATTCTGGTTCGTCGGCCTGTTGTTTATTCTCATTGCCTTCGCTGGCCATAGATCGCCATCGCGACAGATATGTTCTTCTCACCACCTCCCCATCTGGCTAAGGCCGAGGAGCTCAAGCAAGCACCTCCAAAAGGTGTAGCTTACTCTGTCGCCATTCCTGGCACTGAACAGCCCGGCCGAAGTCGGGTATACCGAGCATGGAATGCGCAGAAGGAACTTTTGACGACATTGGACCCCCAGGTACAGAAGCTCAACAGCGCATGCCAGAATATCTTAACGCTGACCGACTCTAGGTTACCACGGCCCATGATATTTTCGAGTCGACCGCCAACCGCCAGCCCAAGAACCACTGCCTTGGTTGGCGTCCGTATAACTCCACGACCAAGTCCTTCGATCCATACCAGTGGCTCACTTACGAGACTGTGCAGAAGAGACGCGCTGCATTCGGTGCTGGTCTAGTAGAGCTGCACCATAAGCACGACTGCCATCGCTCTGGCCAGTATGGTGTTGGTCTCTGGTCCCAGAACCGGCCGGAATGGCAAATCACTGGTGAGTTATGTTGTGAGGCCGAAGAATTTAAGAGATAAAACGCTAAATCGAAGCTACGTACAGATTTGGCTTGCATTTCCCAATCTCTTTACTCCGTCTCGATCTACGACGTCCTGTCCCCAGACGCTACCGAATATATTATCAACCATGCTGAGCTAAGCTGCGTTGTTACTTCCCTACCCCATATCCCAACTTTGCTCAAGCTCAAGCCTTCTCTCCCAAACCTGAAGATCATCATCAGTTTGGACCCGTTAGATGGTGGTGAGCAGGACGGTCACTCCAAGCGTGCCCTTATCGAATCCATGGCCGCCGGTCAGGGCCTGGCGATCTACACTATGGATCAGGTTGAGGAGCTGGGCTTGGCCTCGAAGCGCGGATACAATGCTCCTTCTGCTTCGGACATTGTCACTATCAACTACACGTCCGGAACGACCGGGCCCCCCAAGGGTGTTGTTTTGACGCATGGCAATGCCGTGGCCGCCACATCCTGCGGTCTGATCACTATCGGCCAAGCCCGAGGTGATACGGCGGCCTCTTATCTGCCGCTGGCCCATATCTATGCCCGTCTGGCGGAGCACACTGCCTTCTGGGGTGGTGCACGGATTGGTTATTTCCACGGAAACATCGTGGAGTTGGTCGACGATTTGAAGTTGCTGAAGCCCACTGGTTTCATGTCTGTTCCTCGTCTTTACAGTCGATTTGGTAGCGCAATCCGTTCCGCGACAGTTGAGCAGCCTGGCTTCAAGGGCGCTCTTTCGCGACACATCGTTGCGGCGAAAACCGCGAACATGAAGAACCCCGATCCCTCCAAGGCGACAGTCCGGCACGCTGTGTACGATCGCCTGTGGGCTAAGAAGGTGACTGCCGCTCTTGGTCTGGAGCGAGCCAGATACATGGTGTCTGGCTCCGCGCCCTTGGACCCGACCCTACACAACTTCCTGCGTGTTGCCACCGGTACCGATATCCTTCAGGGTTACGGCTTGACTGAGTCCTACGCCTCAGCCACCGCCCAGCCGACCTACGACCTGACCTCCGGCAATTGCGGCAGCCTCGCTCCCTGTGTCGAGGCATGCTTGGCCTCCCTGCCAGACATGGAGTACTCCGTGGACGACAAGCCGTTCCCCCGTGGTGAGCTTTTGCTGCGCGGCAACAACATGTTCCGCGAGTACTACAAGAACGAGGAAGAGACCCGCAATGCCGTAACCGAGGACGGTTGGTTCCGCACCGGCGATGTCTGCACAATCGATGAAAAAGGCCGCTTCATCATCATCGACCGCCGCAAGAACGTGCTCAAGCTCGCCCAGGGCGAGTACATCTCTCCCGAGCGTCTGGAGGGTGTTGTCCTTGCCGAGCTCGGCTACATCGCCCAGGCTTATATCCACGGCGACAGTATGCAGACATTCCTGGTTGGCATCTTCGGTGTCGCGCCCGACCTCTTCGCTCCGTTCGCCAGCAAGGTTCTGGGCAAGACTATTGCGCCGACCGACTTGGAAGCGGTCAAGGAATCCCTGGGCGATGACAAGCTCCGCCGTGCCGTGCTCCGTGACCTCGAGCGCGTGGCTAAGAAGCACAAGTTTGCTGGCTATGAGAGAATCCGCAACGTCTCTCTCAAGGTGGAGCCGTTCACCGTTGAGAACAACTTGCTGACCCCGACGTAAGTTTTTATTCCCACCTCCATAATCCCAGCATTGCTAACATTATTCTCTCCCTCCTATAGTCTCAAGCTCAAGCGTCCCCCCGCTGTCAAGCTATACCGTTCCCTTCTGGATCAGCTCTACGAGCAGGCCACCGAGGAGCAGTCTGCTCCCAGGGCTAAGCTGTAGTGGCTCCAGCATTTATTCTTATTCATCATTGATTTCCGTCGTGCTCACTCTGGCATTTGGCAATTCTTCGCGGGCTCGGTTCAGGAACTGTATATAGAACCAGTCTGTACCTTGTAGTATATTGAACATTCTGATTGATTGCTGGTGCACTACTGGCTTGGAGGAAATACTCTCTTCGGTTGTAGGCTCATTAATTTGGCCTAGTTGTCTCTTATTTTGTTTGCTTCCTCGCCTCTCCCTCATAGAACTAGACTATATGCATATACTCACCTAGCGATTTCATTTTTCACACACTGCTTGTTGGGTTTCTTCTGTTAACTTCTACAGTCGTTTTTGGTTCTGCATCCAACTTCGATTACGTCGCATTGATATGGGTCGTTTCTACACCACACTACTATGTATACACCTCCAACCAAAGAATAACCACGGTCACCTCCGCCAACCCATTATTGTCATGATAAAGAAAATTATTACAAGATCGAGCA